CACCCGTTCACTGTCTTGTATTCGTTGAAAGTCGACAAGGCAGCTGGAGTGGACAAAATACCGGCAAGGTTGTTGAGAAATGCTGAAGTAGAGCTTGCTCGCTCAATAACATATCTGATTAATAAATCGATTACAGATGAAACTGTCCCTGCTTTGTGAAAGGTTGCTCGCGAAACGCCTTTGAATAAAGCTGAAGACAATCTTTTAGTGAAAAAATAACAGGCCTATTTCTGTGTTGCCAGTACGCAAAGTATTGGTATACTATTTCTCGATATCTCCAAGGCGTTCGACCCTATAAACCATACGATACTTCTGGGGAAGCTTGAACACATAAGACTTTCTGCGAGAAGTCTGAGATGTTTTAAATCGTATCTGCGTGTATATATAAATGGCGAAGTATCTGAGACTCACCCTGTCGACCTGGGTGTGCAAGGGAGTATCCTGCGTCTACTTCTATTCAACCTGTACATTAACAGCTCGTCAACTGCCGTAACGAAGAGTGAATTGATATTGTATGCAGATGACTCTGTTCTTGTTCTTGCTGCATTGACATCCCAAGAAATTAATGATCCCTTTGACATGACTTTAAACTAATCTCCCACTGGTGTATCGTCAACAAATTAACACTTAATGGGTGAGCTATGACGAGGAAAACTTGGGGGCAAGAGACAACTTTGGGTGCCCTTTTAGCGAGGTCAGTTTATTCTGTGGAGGCTCGGTTAACAGGGGTAGACGGTTGTTGTCGGGGTGGACGTTCAAAACTGGAACTAAAAAAAAAACTGCTGTTGAAGCAGAACACAACATAGTTAAAAAGCCCACACTGCAGGAGGTAAACCAATTGATTTTTGGTAAGGGTCGTTGCGTAGTTGAACTCGGGACTACAACGAGAAAGAAAAAGTTATATGGATAGATAACATATGAGTTCAGCGAACTTCCATTCGTTCACCTGACAGAATTTGAAAGCAGTTTTGTTTTTTTTTTCAAAGAAAGCAATTAATAATATACATGATATTGTTAGTGGAAGGTAATAAACTGAGATTTAACGACTCTGTCGTGTGAATTAAGTCTTTCAGAGACCAGAAAACAGGGTAACTGGACTGAAATCTTAGTTCAGTAAATCAAGTGCAGGTGCATTCCTACAAACATTTCCTCGCTTTGTCAACTGAGAACTATTAAAGAAATAATTGCTGCCATAATTACAAAGAACCAAGGAACGAACGCAGCCAAACATTCTGGCTATTTCCCAGCCTGCAATGCAGTCGTGATGTTGAAAATCGAGACAACGCCAGGATGCACTAGAACAAAAAGGCTGTAGCTCGGCCCGGGAAACGAATAAGAACAAAAAAGTAACTTCTAAGCTAGAACAACTGTACATGAATTTTAGTTTTGCATCGATGATTTGAGTAAAAAAAAAAAAAAGCTGGAGGCAAAAATGTGATTTTGGTCGTTTTTCTAGGACGTTAAAAACGGTCATTTTTGTTCCTGTCCAAATTCAAAAGGTTTTTATTTTTTTAAGGCAATATTTTGCAAAAAGCGCTGACCTTTTTGCGTTTATTAGATATCCCAATTTAAAGGACTTTCCACTCAGTGCTCTCAACTGACAGTTAAGGCATGAAATGTTCATGCGATTGAGAAAGTTGCATGTTTCAAAGCAGTACAGTCCTGTACGGCTGGTTTTGGGTTTATCTCTGGTGTAATATATTTTATTATCATTCGATGAAAATTTTTCTTCCCTTTCATTGGCCGAAAGCCCACCACGTGACTACAAATAACTGCCTACAAATAATGGTCTGCTCATGCGCAATGTCGTCCAACTGTGTTTTGCTGCAAATAATATTCTGCTCATGCGTAAACGAAACCACGCCTCCCCTTCTTGCGATCGTTCTTGCGTAAAGAAAGGCAGATGGCTTTGCTTCCCGAAGGTGGTCGTTAAGAAAAACAAACTTGGTGGTCGAATGATAAAACAATTTTTAATTCGGTTATCGCAAAATATCGCGATTTGCCAGTCTCTCGCACATCAATTATTTTGCCGCAGCCTTCGGCTTCGGCAAATAATTGATCTGCTCGCCACTGACAAATTGCGATATTTTGCTCAACTTCGTCCAATAATTTTATTCACAGCTCACTTAAAACAAAGAAAACAAACATCCTTAACAATGAACCTAACCCTGACAATGGTCCATAAAACAAAGAAAACGAATCAGTGAATTATATTACACCGGGGATGACCCCGGTTATGGCCGGCAAGGCCTTCAGTAGGTGAATAGAAAATTTTATCTGAGTATAAAATGATGCCCAGGAAGCAAAAACATCTGCAAGTTGTGAAATTTCGAACGAAACCAACACTGTTTAAAATTCAACCCTGCATCTGCCTGTTAGTCATGTTAAATTTATGATTGTTACCGAACTATTCACTAAAAAACCTGGATTTCATGGATGGTAAAAAAATGCCAAATCAAGTATGATATAATAATTATTCAATAGGTAAAAATAGAAGTAAAACTTTTGTTTAAGAAAACAATGCAAATTTTGAAAAAACCTGGTCATCGAAACTTGGTGAACTCTATGTTGAAATACACCACTTTAAAATGTGACCATCGATCTATAGGAATTTGGTGCTAAACACGAAAACACGCTCACAAAAGCTCCTTATTATAACAGGCGTTCGAATGCCAGCCATGTTGCCTCATTAGCACATTCTTTTGTTTCAGAGGACTCGCTTTAGACAATTTATAAATTTATGGAAAATTCGCTAAGTCTGGTCATAGCTTGAACAATTTGAAGTTATTCAACTTTTTGGTTGAGGGAGCTAGGGAGCGCGGTGGCTCAAAAACCCTCCGGGGCTGAAAAGGTTTTAATGACACCGTAAAGTAGCTGCTATTTTTTTTCTTTCATACTTTTATATAGCCAAATATAATTTTATTATAGCCTGCTTCGTGGATAGTCTTCATTTTTAGGCTTCGGCCTAGGTTTTTAGCTCCAGCGCACGCTTATATTGTAGATCATTCAGCCTGTTGAACAGCCAATTATAGGCTATTGAGTTGAAACATAAAGGTAACAAGCGCTGCGGCGCTCATTATATTTTTCACGCGGTGATGCTTATTCTGGAAAGGCGTTCGTTAAGTGGAGGGAGGAGTTTATGTGAAAATTGAACGCAACAAATATTTGTTTTAAAGACGATTATTTTTCGTACTAGACTAACATAATTAACATCGAGGGTGGCGCTTATAAACGTGTTAAATGGAGCACATAACAGCTGTTCTGTTGGTAAGCTGGTGCCGGTTAGTCCGTAGGAATACCCCCCCCACCCCCACCCCCCCAAATATTAAAAAAAAAGAAGAAGAAGGCTTTAGACACCTAAGGCTACAGGAAATAGCTTGATGACTTAAAGATATGTGAGCACCGATACAACTAGTAGAGTGAGATATGAACAATAATAATTATAATAATGATAATAGTTGTTTTAGACGACAAAGAATTAAACGGTTTTGAACGGCAATTGCCGATTTATAGACCATTCTGTAATATATTTATATGACATGATTCAATTACTTCATCGTTAATAGTAACCTAAATTGAAACCCAGTGGAAAATTAAGTTCTCATTTAAAGCCCATGTATTGTTAAGACCCACCGGGTTTCTATTGGTGAGTAGTCTTTTGTAGCTATGCACTCCACAAAAAATTAACAAATGCATAGATTTTCTAAAGACAAAATTTATAAATATAAAGAGTTTTTATAGTCAATCCTTCACCATCAAACTAGTTAAAAGAGAAATAATTATTTTAAACTGATCTATTTTGTCTTTAACTTTTTATATGTAACGTCCCACTCATGCATCTCTTAAGTGACCGTAACCACCCGTGAAAGGTCAACACGCTTCGTCAGCAATAAAAGGCCACCTTCTTAGTACAAGATGAGTTTACTTTGGTTACCTGCTCAACCACTCAGTCACTTAGTCCTTTAACTAAGCCAAATGTTCGTGATCCTAGGGAGGCGCTGGTATCGCCTCTTCATAATCATCTCGATCAAATATGCATTGTTGTTCTTTTCGTGTCCTTAATGCGTCACTGTAGACAAAGCATCGGAGGAAATACGACTCCATGATATGGCGTAACCGAATCCAGATTTTATTTTGAAAACCAGGAAAAGAGTACTGAAGTGAGACTTAGATAAAGTAAGTGTTACCTTAAAAACTGCAAATTATATTAACATAGCAAGAGCTATGGTTATAGAGGAAGTGAAGAAAAATTGTTTGCAATGAGGATCTGTTTAGAATTTAACAGGTTGTATTTGTTATTTTCTCTATCATTAGGGATGTATAGTACACTTATGGTCCTCTTCGCGTGTAATGTCCTTGTCTTGAGTGGTTTTTCAAAAGCTTCCCGCCGCGGAAATAGAGGTAAGGTCAAGATTCTTAAACAGCGTTTGCTCTTTGGGTCGGAACTTATTATTATTTCATAAAAGTTCATTCAATCGCCATAGAATAAACCCGAATGAAGTTATATAATTATGCGTTTCCAGTGTCATATAACAACTGGATTTATCATAATCATCTCGTTTCTTTTAGATAGAGTCGAAGTTCTAAACGATCTAACGCGGCCTGTAGTAAAAATAATAACTAGATAAAAATAAAATAGTTGTTTAAAAACAAAAATAAAAAAACAGAATAGATAAGGGATGAACTAACTGTTATCTTCTGATTCTTCTTCTTCAATTCCTTAATCGTAAATGTAGTTAAACCGGGGTCCTCGAACTCACAACCAATTTTTTTTAACGGCATCACTATTAATATTATTATTTTCTTAAGTATTTATAATCCTCTCACATTTTGACTGTACTTCAAATGAAAAAAGAGTTATCAGTAATCATTGTATATGCTATATGCTGTGTGTAAAAAATAAAACTTTTTGATTCAAACTTTACCTCAGTGTAATAAAAACTAAATTTGAACCCTTAAAACATATGCTCGTTATAGACCAAACTATATATTTTGCTCAAATGATCAATAAATATTTCTTTCTAGGACCAAAATGCCACCATGTCTCTAGTAGATTTTTGATCGAGAGAATCGGACTCGGGGAAAATACTTTGGTATCTCAAAAGAAGCAGAAGTCTTCAAATATAATAAAAGGCAAATGGCACAGGCGTGATTCACAAATGAAGTCTCAGGTACAAGACCTCAGAGGAGACAAACGACATTTCAGCACCCACGTTCTTCTTCCAAGACCGTTTGATATTTCATCGGTTAAAGGTAGTACGAATTGCTTAATCTAACTTCTGCCTCATTCACCCAAGTAGAGCATGTTTAGTAAAAGAAGATTTAACAAAATGATTGAAAATCATTGACAAATAACGTAAAGCCTAAATTTTGCCTAAGATCGCAGAACAATAGGAGAGAAGTTGCAGCAACAGGTTGCGGCGACGAGTCGGAGCGGCATGAAATCGATTCGTGTGTACAGACTGAGAATTTTCGTGGAAATCTTGGTCTGCATAACATCATTTGGTCGCCCTCACAGGTCACACAAAGTCAAATCAGACTGAATTTGTGCAACTTGTTGCGGCGAAAAAATTATGTTCCGAAGGTAGCGGTTTTCACTGAAATTCCTAGGTAAATACGAAGAGATTTGTGCGCGCTCTCTCCCTACCTGTATACAAGGAGTGATTTGTAGCCCCGACATGCCGCTGCAATATGTCGCTGAGAGCGTCCCGACCTTCACATTTTTTTACAAGCTTTGCAGGTGATTTCACCATGACTAATTTAAAGTAGACAAGTATCAGTTAAAGTCTTTGACTATAACTGAGCACAATCATAGCTGGGGTCAAAAAACTTTGACATAGTCTATTAGGTTTGACGTCATTGTGTTAGGTTGCAAAGGGTACAAATTAAAACTAAGGTATCTAGCTATAAGATGCTAAAAGCTAAAAGCCTTGCAACGAAGTACAAGCTTCAAGGGGGAAAGACGATCGAAGAGACGCTTTTTTTGTACTATGTAGAGAAATGCTGTTCAACAGGATAAAATGCAGCCTCCTTTATTTGGTTGCCAAACATTTGTCAATTGCTTGTGGACCTCTGAGCTACAAGTCATAATAATAAAAAAAAAAGCATCTGCGTCATTCAAAGCATATCTACTCCAGTATTGCATGCACTATTCTGCGAAGTTCATGTATACAAGGTCAAAGGCGGAAGTAGTAGGGGTTTTGTAATTTATTTTGGTTATCAGATGACATTTACTTACTGGCTACAAGTTTAGGGGGTGAAAATGCGATTGGCTATTCACTAAGACTTTTTGGGGTATTTGGGCCTAATTACTATTCATACGCACGGTTCAAGTCTAACAGTTTAGGGTTTGACAACAAGATACTGTCGACTGTGAATAGCCTCCTAGTTTCTTCAAAGAAAGTGCAGGGCTAAGCGTGACACGTGATCGTGAGAGGCGAGAAACTATGGCGTCAGCCTGAGGAAAAGTGTATTTTCGTTTTCTTGCCTTCTTACAGTCTTGCAGAGACATTCGATTTTATCCTGTGATGCAAGATTCGAAAAAAAAATTCAGCCATCCATGGCTTATAACTGCATGAGAGACACGAGGAGGACAGAGAGCATTGCTCTGAAATACCCGTCATTTTAAGTGTGTTCTCTCACTGTTAATTTATCTTCTTGCTTGGCATTATTCTCAGCCTGCAAAACACAAGTTGATCTGGGTTTCGTTATCGACGGTTCCGGCAGCATAGAGATGTATGGAAAAGGAAATTTTAAAAAGTGTTTGGATTTTGTAAAATCATTGACGAGAGCTTTTGTTATTTCCCCGGCGGACACAAGGGTCGGAGCGATCGTCTTCTCATCAAGAAGTGAACTTCAATTCAACTTTAATCAATACACAACTAAAGCTCAGCTTGAAACAGCAATTGACAATATAAAACACCCTGGGTACAGGACAAAAACTGGACTTGCGCTAACAATGTCAAAAGACCAACTTTTTAACGACGCTAGGCCAGGTGTTCCACGTGTACTGGTTATTTTGACTGACGGACGCGCCAATGACGATGTAGTAAAGCCTTCAGAGGAACTTAGAGAGATTGGGGTGGTCATATTCGCCGTTGGATTGGGAAAAAACTACAATGAAAAACAATTAATAAGCATGGCGGCTACAAAGGAAAATGTTTTAACTGCCGACTTTCCCGACATGATGACTATAGTGACAACATTACAAGAAAAACTTTGCAAAGGTGGGAAATCGGAACATGCGTGTACAGCATGAAATCTTGGTGAAACGGGTCTTTGTTAATTGTCCCTTCTCTCTTTTAAGACTTTTCCGAGACCCAAATCCCTTAAAAAACTTAACATTGCACGAAGTTAGCAAACATTTAAAAAGCAATTTTTATCATTTTTAAATTTACGGTTTAATTCCTACATCTGCATCTAATTCAACGCGAGTGGGATTCCCCATTTTTACAATTCGTTTTTTACGCTATGCAGATTTCTCTTTTTTCGTTCCCCAAACTGATAATGCCCTAATCTAAATTCACAAAAAAACTAACGCATAATGACAAAAGCTTTTTTTTAAATTTTACAGCTGCTGTTCAAGCTGTCGCTGAGGGGAAAAGTGAGTACAACTTGGACATACTTTAATTTCCCACTAAAATGTCTGGTTAGCTGATCAAGGTCTTGACGGAGACCCTTCCTCATGTCAATTTGTTTATGCGATAAAAAAACTAATAGCCCATTCTTAGGACTTAAGACCGTTTGAGGGGGACTAAATAGAGACGGTGGACTTATTTGATTTAGAAAAGACGATAATATCAGTTCTCCATAAAGAACTAGAATACAAAGTGAAGAAGCTCAAGAAAATGAAGTTTTGAAGTCATGCAGCCGAGTATTAACTTACAAACTACTAGCTGGACCATCCCGGATCAGTCCACACAAATTTTTATCGTCTTGATTGATCAAAAAAATCTCTCCTTTATTAGTTGAACAATAATTAGGGGAGAGTTGTTGTTGTTTTTTTTTTGGAGGGGGTGGGGGGGGGGGGGTTAATAGGGAATTTTGGGGGCGTTCAAAATTTAGGGGGTGAAGGCTTGGTTTTTTGGGGGCTTAGTTTCTTGTTTTGGGTTTTTTTTTCCTGGTAGGCGTCTAAAACAATTTAGCCAATAGTTAAACTGGCTGATGACTACAGTTTTCTTGCTTGGATCCGTATGGATGGTAAAAAAATGCCAAATCAAGTATGATATAATAATTATTCAATAGGTAAAAATAGAAGTAAAACTTTTGTTTAAGAAAACAATGCAAATTTTGAAAAAACCTGGTCATCGAAACTTGGTGAACTCTATGTTGAAATACACCACTTTAAAATGTGACCATCGATCTATAGGAATTTGGTGCTAAACACGAAAACACGCTCACAAAAGCTCCTTATTATAACAGGCTTTCGAATGCCAGCCATGTTGCCTCATTAGCACATTCTTTTGTTTCAGAGGACTCGCTTTAGACAATTTATAAATTTATGGAAAATTCGCTAAGTCTGGTCATAGCTTGAACAATTTGAAGTTATTCAACTTTTTGGTTGAGGGAGCTAGGGAGCGCGGTGGCTCAAAAACCCTCCGGGGCTGAAAAGGTTTTAATGACACCGTAAAGTAGCTGCTATTTTTTTTCTTTCATACTTTTATGTAGCCAAATATAATTTTATTATAGCCTGCTTCGTGGATAGTCTTCATTTTTAGGCTTCGGCCTAGGTTTTTAGCTCCAGCGCACGCTTATATTGTAGATCATTCAGCCTGTTGAACAGCCAATTATAGGCTATTGAGTTGAAACATAAAGGTAACAAGCGCTGCGGCGCTCATTATATTTTTCACGCGGTGATGCTTATTCTGGAAAGGCGTTCGTTAAGTGGAGGGAGGAGTTTATGTGAAAATTGAACGCAACAAATATTTGTTTTAAAGACGATTATTTTTCGTACTAGACTTACATACTTAACATCGAGGGTGGCGCTTATAAACGTGTTAAATGGAGCACATAACAGCTGTTCTGTTGGTAAGCTGGTGCCGGTTAGTCCGTAGGAATACCCCCCCCACCCCCACCCCCCCAAATATTAAAAAAAAAGAAGAAGAAGGCTTTAGACACCTAAGGCTACAGGAAATAGCTTGATGACTTAAAGATATGTGAGCACCGATACAACTAGTAGAGTGAGATATGAACAATAATAATTATAATAATGATAATAGTTGTTTTAGACGACAAAGAATTAAACGGTTTTGAACGGCAATTGCCGATTTATAGACCATTCTGTAATATATTTATATGACATGATTCAATTACTTCATCGTTAATAGTAACCTAAATTGAAACCCAGTGGAAAATTAAGTTCTCATTTAAAGCCCATGTATTGTTAAGACCCACCGGGTTTCTATTGGTGAGTAGTCTTTTGTAGCTATGCACTCCACAAAAAATTAACAAATGCATAGATTTTCTAAAGACAAAATTTATAAATATAAAGAGTTTTTATAGTCAATCCTTCACCATCAAACTAGTTAAAAGAGAAATAATTATTTTAAACTGATCTATTTTGTCTTTAACTTTTTATATGTAACGTCCCACTCATGCATCTCTTAAGTGACCGTAACCACCCGTGAAAGGTCAACACGCTTCGTCAGCAATAAAAGGCCACCTTCTTAGTACAAGATGAGTTTACTTTGGTTACCTGCTCAACCACTCAGTCACTTAGTCCTTTAACTAAGCCAAATGTTCGTGATCCTAGGGAGGCGCTGGTATCGCCTCTTCATAATCATCTCGATCAAATATGCATTGTTGTTCTTTTCGTGTCCTTAATGCGTCACTGTAGACAAAGCATCGGAGGAAATACGACTCCATGATATGGCGTAACCGAATCCAGATTTTATTTTGAAAACCAGGAAAAGAGTACTGAAGTGAGACTTAGATAAAGTAAGTGTTACCTTAAAAACTGCAAATTATATTAACATAGCAAGAGCTATGGTTATAGAGGAAGTGAAGAAAAATTGTTTGCAATGAGGATCTGTTTAGAATTTAACAGGTTGTATTTGTTATTTTCTCTATCATTAGGGATGTATAGTACACTTATGGTCCTCTTCGCGTGTAATGTCCTTGTCTTGAGTGGTTTTTCAAAAGCTTCCCGCCGCGGAAATAGAGGTAAGGTCAAGATTCTTAAACAGCGTTTGCTCTTTGGGTCGGAACTTATTATTATTTCATAAAAGTTCATTCAATCGCCATAGAATAAACCCGAATGAAGTTATATAATTATGCGTTTCCAGTGTCATATAACAACTGGATTTATCATAATCATCTCGTTTCTTTTAGATAGAGTCGAAGTTCTAAACGATCTAACGCGGCCTGTAGTAAACATAATAACTAGATAAAAATAAAATAGTTGTTTAAAAACAAAAATAAAAAAACAGAATAGATAAGGGATGAACTAACTGTTATCTTCTGATTCTTCTTCTTCAATTCCTTAATCGTAAATGTAGTTAAACCGGGGTCCTCGAACTCACAACCAATTTTTTTT